GATTTTATTCATATAATGATTAATTAAAATAATAAAAATAATACCGGTATTATACCGGTATTACAGGTATTGAAATAATTCAGTACCGAAATACCGGTATTGAAAAATGTTATCGGTATTGGATGCACGTTATGGTACCATAGAATAGAAAAATCTAATCGATATGAAACGAAAAAAGTTTGCTGTATGCAGTAAAAAGTGCAATTTTTCCTATAAAAAATTAAATATTATATAAAATATGGACCTTTCAAAAATTGGGAGGGGGGTGCGTACGCACCCAACGCACCCTTAACCCCCTTCCCTACTGCGTACGGGCCTGGTCCAAGAAAAAAGTTCATAGGCCATTTTTCTTCGAAGGAAATGTGAGCGGAGATGTTTATCTTCAAATGCTTCAAAATTGGTTAATTGATCAACTCATGAAGACGAAAAATTTATTTTTCGTCTTCATGAGTTGATCAATTAACCAATTAGTTGATCAATTAACCAGTTGATTAATTAAACAATTAACTCATGAAGACGAAAAATTTATTTTATCAAATGAAGACAAAAAATTTATTTTTCATCAGGATGGGGTTCCACCTTTTTGGAAGCTCACTGTACGAGCCTACCTCAATGAGGTTCTGCCAAAGAGATGGATTGGTTGAGGTACTGAAAAAGAGGATTTTCTTCTGAAATGGTCATCCGACCTTTCTCCGTGTGTCTTTTTTCCTCTGAGGTTATGTGAAAGGACTAGTCTTCGTACCTCCTCTACTAGCTAGCATTGAAGAACTGAAACAGAGAATTACACCTGCATTGGAAACTATTACCTAAGACATGTTACAGCAAGTTTGGCACTAATAATTCTAATAAATTATATATCCAATGGGTTCAATAATGATTGCTATACTTAATATATACCAAGTTATGCTTCTAATGTTTAAATCAAAACATGGGTTGTCTCCTAATATATTTCACTCTTACTTCACTGAAATTACTCATAAAAACCCCACAAAATTTTCAGTTGATATGTTTGTTATTCCAAGATCTTATTTAAAACTCAGCTCATTTCAAATTCAATACCGTGGACTCTTCTAAACTGCTCCCTAGAACAATTCAAAAAAGAATCTAAACGTTTTCTATTTGGAAAAAAATGTTTATTTATATATAAACTAAAAAAAAATGTTTATTTATATATCTTATTATACGATTTACTACTTGTAATATATTGTTTTGTATTTTGTAATTTTTAACTTGTTACATAAACTGAAGGCAACAATGTAAACGGGGCTTGGCGATAAGACAATACGACTTCTTCTTGCTCCGGCCATATATTATATATGTACGATCTTTCTTCTTGTAAATTTTATCAAACGGCAAAGAAAAAAAAAAAAAAAAAAAAAAATTTTGATGCAATAGTTATAAAACATTATTTTATTTACAAATATTTTTCAATGTAAATTTTTTCTCTAGAATGAAAATTTTTAATGTAAGCTGAGAAGTTGCTTCATTTTAAAGCAATTATTAAAAATTTTCTCTCTTTTTCTCTCTCTCTCTCTCGCTCTCTCTCTCTCAATATATTTATATATATACTTATATATATATATATAAATATATTGAGTATATAAATATATTGAATATATTTTTTTTTCATTTTTCATTTTCTTTTCAGCAATGTTGTATTTATGTCTTAGATTCTGTGCAAATCAAAAAGATATTTGCAGGTATTTAGTAGCAAAATAACTTACGATTTATGTACGGCTAAATATAGTCTTTTCAAAATATAGGCGTAACGGGTGTGTGTCTGGATAAACTCTGTTTATTTATGTAAAAATAAAAAGTTTAATTTAACAAGCATTTGCAATGTTTCAGCCAAAGTATTCGAACTATTTTATTGATATTTTCTGTTTTATAGACAAAAATATAATTATTATTTTCTTTTAAATTTATTATTATTATTATAGTTGTAGCCGTAAATTTACATAGAATGTACACATACAGCGAGCAGGGGAAACACCCCACTATAAACAACCAGTTTTATAAATATTTGTTCCAAACTTTTTCCACAACCAGGAGTCTAGTCTATTTTTGAAAGAAAGTACAGTGGAGTACAAAGTTATTTGCTCTGGTAGATTGTTCCAGTATTTTGCTGATCTATTATACAAATGATTATATCTTGGAAGACAGTTTAGAACATACTCACGCCTTATTTTAGAATGATGACCACGAGACACGGAGTTAATATATTTTGGTAGATATTTATCATTAACTATATCAAAACGATGTATTAATTTAAAAATTTGGATTAAATCGCATCGAAGGCGTCGAAACTCAAGTGATGGTAGGTTTAATCTTTTTAGCCTTTCGCAGTATTGAAGATGCCTCAAGCTGTAAGCCCATTTTGTAGCTTTGCGTTGAACAGATTCAACCAAAGCCATATCAGCTTTTAAAAAAGGAGCCCAAATGGACACTCCATATTCAAGATGTGGTCTTATAAATACTTTATATAATTTGAGAGCCATTTTTTCATCAATGAAAGTGAATGTCTTTTTCAGCATACCGAGAATTTGTAAGGACTTAGAGACAACTGTTTGAATATGAGCGCTCCACTTGAGGTTAGATGTAAAAATGACTCCTAAATCACGTTCTTTTAAATTTAAAATTGATAAGTTGTTTAAATACTCCTTCCATCGGTTTAATAGAAAAATTCACTTTTTCGTAGTTTGATTCTGGTGATTCGTTGAGCTATTTATTTAAAAAAAATTTAGATTTCCTCTAACATCTTTTACTTCCTTTTTTCATATATGTACGGAAACATTTTATTAAACTTTTTCTTTCTAAGTTTTAGCTGAATATTCAAGCTAAATATAAAAGTAATCAGTCGGTAGGATTTATATTTTTAAAAGCCGACGCATCATTAAAATTTTTAAAATCGAAAGTCGACGCATCATTAAAACCATTGAAATCGAAAGTCGACGCATCATAAAAACCTTTGAAATCGAAAAAACTTTTCTTCACTTTTATTGTGTAATTAACTCTATGGTGAAATAAATTTGCAGACATAAAGGTAAGATCAGGTTTAAAATCAAATGTTTTGATTTGAACCTGACTCTTAATTTTGGTTTCTGCAAAATTGGTTATGAATGATAAAAAACAAAGAAAAAGCAAGGGTTTATGTTTCACAACAGGGTTTGTGTTTCACAACTGCAATTATTAAAAAACGGTAAATCTTTTCTGTAATGCTTAAACTCTTTAAAAAAATTTAAAGTTGCTGCCAACATAATATTTTGAATATTATGTTGGCAGCAATCAATAGCTGCTGAGTGCTAAGCCACCGTAAATATTGTTTTCTGTTTTTTTTTTCTAATGGGATGAAAGTTTCAGGATTTAGAGTCAAAATATTTTAGACCTGAATTTATCTATATGACACGTTAAGTGAATCCTTGTTCTAATCGTCCTAATTTATTTTAACTTATTTTCGGTAAATTAATCAAAACTCATCAGCGAGTTTCATATGATGGCTCTTTATCCAAAGTTTTATACCAAGATTTTGGCTTTACGTTTTTGTTGATTTTGATTTATTTTATTGATTTCACATAACTTACTTTCTCCGTTTCCTAAAACGAGTGAATTTGACATTTACATTTTTGACCGTTTGCTGATAAAAACAATAAAAGCAAAAATATCTAGATTCTTTTTCAAAATATCTTTATGCTTATCAATTCCTTCACGCATCTGGGATTCCTTTGCTATTTTCTTACTTTACGCGCCATATTGTCCCTTGTTAAACCAAGTGTGACTAAATACATAGTTTCGTATTTACCTTTTCTTAACAACCGTCAACAAATGCGTGCATAAAATGCTTGTTTTTTCATTATTGGCGCGCCCCAAAATGTTTTTTATAATTTTAACTTTTCTTTTTTTTAAAAAAAACAACAAAAGTTTTTATTGCAAATTTTTATACATAAAGATTTCAACAGTGATATTAAAATTTCATTCGACGAAGAATATTCATAATATCTCTCGTCGGATATTATGAAAACTTTTCTCGTTGAAAACGCGACTACGCCTATTTAATAGATTGTTTACTCTATGTACAACCAGCGCAGGATTATATTTAAAACAATTATTAAATTATAATTTAAATAAATCTGTTAACAAAAACGTAACTATACTTTTCCGCGGTAAAAACCAGTTTCCCGCTAACATTTTCTTTTTTATCTACTAAAAATAATGACACTAAGTCACTCGAGCTCTCATTAACACTATTTTATGGTGTACAACCATAAAAGTTAACTTAACGGATTAGTTTATCGTGAACAACCGTTTAAGTTAACTTAACGATATTTTTAACTAATTCGTTAGTTAACTTATCTTATAAGAGCGCATCTCTACATTAATACCATAATAAATATTTGATTTAAATGTTTATTACCTTCACAATAATAGGAAGAATTTTTTTTTTTTCTAAGTAAAAGGAATGCATTCAGGAAATAATTTAAAGTTGTTCGCAAATGAAAATAACACTTTTAATGATTTTTTTAAGACGCCATTTTCAAGGAAAACTTCAAAATACATTGAAAAAAAAATCAATTTTTTATTATTAGTATCATTATTAATAATTACGATAAAAAACAAAAAAAAAATTAAAAAAAAAAAAGGAATTAGTTTAATAATTTCACCTATACATACATAATATATATATATATATATATATATATATATATATATATATATATATATATATATATATATATATATATATATATATATATATATATATATATATATATATATATATATATATATATATATATACAACCATAGACTTTAAATCGATTTTTTGTGCCGGCATTTATTTTTCAGAATTTATTATCGTCTCGATCGTAAAGGTGAGTTTCCACTCATCCGTTTTTCAACGGGAAACGGAAAAATAATCACGTGAGCATTCGCAGTTTTCTTTTGGACAAATAAAAACGGACGAGGAGAAACTCGCCTTTATAATTTATTAAAATGTATAATCG